TAGCACAGCTAAACAGAACCATTTTTAACCTGGTTTTAAACATTGTCAGAGAGGAGGCCTGTCTCACATCTTCAGGAAGACTGTTCCAGATTTTAGCAGCATGAATCTGAAAAGCAGCCTCCCCATGTTTAGTTCTGACTCTGGGCACTAACAGGAGTCCAGTCCCTGTGCTCCTCAGAGTCCCAGCAGGAGTCCAGTCCCTGTGCTCCTCAGAGTCCCAGCAGGAGTCCAGTCCCTGTGCTCCTCAGAGTCCCAGCAGGAGTCCAGTCCCTGTGCTCCTCAGAGTCCCAGCAGGAGTCCAGTCCCTGTGCTCCTCAGAGTCCCAGCAGGGCCAGTCCCTGTGCTCCTCAGAGTCCCAGCAGGAGCCAGTCCCTGTGCTCCTCAGAGTCCCAGCAGGAGTCCAGTCCCTGTGCTCCTCAGAGTCCCAGCAGGAGTCCAGTCCCTGTGCTCCTCAGAGTCCCAGCAGGAGTCCAGTCCCTGTGCTCCTCAGAGTCCCAGCAGGAGTCCAGTCCCTGTGCTCCTCAGAGTCCCAGCAGGAGTCCAGTCCCTGTGCTCCAGAGTCCCAGCAGGAGTCCAGTCCCTGTGCTCCTCAGGCCCAGCAGGAGTCCAGTCCCTGTGCTCCTCAGAGTCCCAGCAGGAGTCCAGTCCCTGTGCTCCTCAAGTCCAGCAGGAGTCCAGTCCCTGTGCTCCTCAGAGTCCGGGCTGGTTCATATGGGACTAACATGTCGCTAATATATTTTGGTGCGAGGCCATGGAGAGACTTGTAACAAGCAGAGCTGTTTTAAAGTCTATTCTCTGAGCCACAGGAAGCCAGTGCAGAGACCTGAGGACTGGACTAATGTGGTCGTACTTCCTGGTTCTAGTCAGGACTAATGTGGTCGTACTTCCTGGTTCTAGTCAGGACTAATGTGGTCGTACGTCCTGGTTCTAGTCAGGACTAATGTGGTCGTACTTCCTGGTTCTAGTCAGGACTAATGTGGTCGTACTTCCTGGTTCTAGTCAGGACTAATGTGGTCGTACTTCCTGGTTCTAGTCAGGACTAATATGGTCGTACTTCCTGGTTCTAGTCAGGACTAATGTGGTCGTACTTCCTGGTTCTAGTCAGGACTAATGTGGTCGTACTTCCTGGTTCTAGTCAGGACTCGAGCTGCTGCATTTTGAATGTACTGCAGCTGTTTTACAGCCTGTTTGGACAGACCTGTGAGCAGGCCATTGCAGTAGTCTAACCTACTGGAGACAAATGCATGGATAAGACTCTCCAAGTCTGCTTTAGACACTATGTTTTTGATCCTGGCAATGTTTTTTAGATGGTAAAAAGCTGCTGATGTTACTGATTTGATGTGGCTATTAAAATTTAAGTCTGAGTCCAGTATTACCCCTAGATTTCTGACCTTGTTTGAAGGTTTTAGGGAGAGAGACTGTAGGTGACAGATGACGCTCTCTCTTTGTTTCTGGGGACCAAAGACAATCATTTCAGTTTTGTCTGCGTTTAGCTGAAGGAAGTTGTTTTGCATCCACTCACTGATCTGTTGGATACAGTGAAGGAGTGAGTCCACTGGTCCATGTTCTCCTGCAGTCAGTGAGACATAGATCTGAGTGTCGTCTGCATAGTTATGATAGGACACTTTGTTTCTGCGTATTAACTGACCTAACGGCAGCATGTAGAGATTGAACAGAAGAGGTCCCAGGATCGACCCCTGTGGGACTCCACAGGTCAGGGCCATATGATCTGAGACACAGTTTCCAATCTCCACAAAGTACTTCCTGTCTTCAAGGTAAGACCTAAACCAACTTAGGGCGGTGCCAGCGACGCCAACCCAGTCCTCTAGTCTCTGTAAGAGGATCTCATGGTCGACGGTGTCAAAGGCAGCACTTAGATCTAACAGGATTAAGATTGAGACTTTGCCTGCGTCAGTGTTCAGCCGGATATCATTTGTAACCTTGACGAGAGCAGTCTCAGTGCTGTGGTGGGGTCTAAAGCCGGACTGAAACATATCAAATGAGTTGTTGATTATAAGAAATCTAGTAAGCTGTAGGTAGACAACTTTCTCAAGGACTTTCCCCATAAATGGCAGATTTGAGATGGGACGATAGTTGTTAAGTACCGTAGCATCCAGGCTGCTCTTTTTTAGCAGGGGCCTGATGACTGCAGTTTTCAGGGCCTTTGGGAATATTCCAGAATGAAGGGACATGTTTACTATCTGTGTGAGTGAAGTAAGTAAGTAAGTAAGTAAGTAAGTAAGTATTTATTTATATACCGCCTTTCACAGACCAGAGTCACAAAGCGGTTTACAATTGTTATTTTTTGGGCATTTGTCTCTCACTCCACACAGAGATGGGAGCGGGGCCAGTACAGGAGGCACATGCCAGACCTATTGTACATATTTTTAGTGGTAGGGGAAACCGGAGTACCCGGAGGAAACCTACGCAGACACGGGGAGAACATGCAAACTCCACTCAAAAAGGCCCTGGTCCGGCCGGGATTCGAACCCAGGACCTTCTTGCTGAGAGGCGAGAGTGCTATCCACTCAGCCACCTTCAGAGTGAAGGTAACAGACTGCTCAGAACAGACTTCAGAAATCTAGTGGGTAGTACATCCAGGCTGCATGTGGAGGAGCTCAAACTGGAGATTATCTCTTGGACATTTTTATCATCTACAGGTGCAAAGTGAGTTTGCTCAAAGAGCCTTTCTGGCTGTTGGATGGTTATCTGTGGATTGGAGACAATGGCGTTTTTGATGCCTTGAACCTTGTCATTGAAAAAGTGTGCAAACTCATTGCATTTACGTTTGGAAGTTAGCTCTAATGGCATTTGAACAGGGGGGTTTGTTAATCTATTAACTGTTGAAAACAACACGCAGGTTGTTACTGCAGCCTTCAATCATTTCAGAAAAATACCTTTCTCTCGTACTACGTAGCACCCGGTTAAACTCGCACAACTTATCTTTGAAGATCTTGTAATCAACCTGGAGGTTGGACTTGCGCCACTTCCGCTCGGCCCTCCGGCACTTTCTCTTCTCTGCTCTGACCGAGTCTGCTTTAGCCCACGGCGCCTTCTGCTTATTTTTCACTATTTTAACCTTCACAGGGGCAACGGTATCCAGAACATTCAAAACATTAGAGTTAAACAGTTCATCTACAGTAGAATACGATGCATTTTCAAAGTTTATCATTCCCATAAATAGTTCACTCGTATTTTCATTTATGTGCCTTCTTCGAACAGTTGCAGAGTCCACTGGTGGTTTGTTAGTGAAACACATGTCAAAAAATACACAGAAATAATCCGAAAGCGCAACATCGACCACGTTTACATTTGAAATATTCACCCCCTTAGTAACTAACAGGTCTAGAGTGTGCCCTCTGCTGTGGGCACACTCTAGACCTGTTAGTTACTAGAGTGTGCCCTCTGCTGTGGGTGGGGCCACTCACGTGCTGAGTGAGACCAAAGGTATCAATTAAGGAACTCAGCTCTTTTGCATTTCTGTCATCAACATTATCCACATGAATATTAAAATCACCTGTAATAACCAAACTATCAAAATCTGTGCATACAACTGAAAGCAACTCGGTAAAATTATCAATAAAACTGTGACATGACTGCGGTGGCTTGTATAGGACAATGAAGAGTATTGGAGGAGATGGTTTTTGTTGTATTTTAAAAGACACATATTCAAAAGACTGAAACTTCCCAAGAGACATTCTATGGGAGACAAAGTGGTCTCTGAAAATGGCAGCTAAGCCTCCTCCTTTTTTGTTTTCCCGTATTTCAGATTCAAATTTGAAATTTGGTGGTGATGCTTCTATTAAAACTGCATTTTCTGTATTTTGGTCAAGCCAAGTTTCAGCCATGAACATAAGATCAAGATTATGAGAACAAATAAAATGATTGATTAAAAAAAGACTTGTTTCAAAGATTCAGTGTCAGCGGTTGTGGTCGGCTGATTTTTAATTAGAATTAGATTTTGGGTTGGGGAGGGACCGGTGGATTTTGCGGGTGAATTTGAATTCGAATTTGAGGGACGGGTGGATTTTGTGGGTGAATTTGAGTTGGACGCCCTAGGTGGCTTTGGAGGTACGTATGGGGAGTAGTTTTGAATGTTAGATAGGACTCTTGATCTGGCTACAGTGGGTGTGAGAGGAATATTCTTCATCGCCGATCTTATCATGCCTGCAGAGTGTTCCGGTAAATCCAATAGTGATGGAAAACACAGGGAAAGGTCGTCCTCATGTTCCTTAGATGGAGTGGATGTGGCGGGGGGGGGGACCCAAACCGGGTCCATGGAAGGTGATGAGGGAGTCTTTGGTGGAGACGGAGGTGGTTGAGAGGCCCCCAGTGCAGGCCTGTCTGAAGCCTGGAGCAATGTGGGGGGCTTCACGGGAGCTGTAGGTGGGGAAGGTGCTGCTGAAGATGATGCAGCAGCCACAGCTGGTGCTGGTGGTGCTGATGCTGAAGGCGCTGATGATGCTGTGGCAGCCGCTGCTGCTGCTGGTGCTGTATCAGCAAGAAGGTCCCAGGGGCCTTTCTGAGTGGCGTTTGCATGTTCTCCCTGTTTCTGCGTTGAAATAAGACTAAAGGTCTTTGTCCCATCGGAGAATCAGTCCTAATTGACTCAACACTTGATTACAGCATGTATTACCTCATATTTGATCACTTTTTGCAGTGTAGCTTTAATAAAATTACTACTTTATACAAAATGTTATTTCCTCCAATCAGGATGGGGAGTGGGGGAATAAAGTACAAAAACATACAATAAATTTGTATGTTTTTGGGCATTTACAAAAACATATAACTTTATTGATCTTGGAGAAATTCAGCACAAATATAGAACTTTTCTGTGTTTATTCTGTTTAGAAAATCTGCTCCGCAGCTCACGTCAAACCATCAACAGCACTTTGTACTTTGTCTCCTTGAAGAGAACCATGTGTTTAACTGCTGTGTCTCTCTGTCTCTCTCTCTGTCTCTCTTTTCCCACAATGCTGCGGGGAACGCATCTGAAGCAGTAGATGAACTTGGAATCGAGTTCATGGGTAAGTTGTACTGACTGAGGATTAATATGTGTACATATACATATATACATATGCACGCACACACACACACACACACACACACACACACACACACGTGTCTTTGTGGCAAAGTACTGCACACATACACAGCACACATGTGGACACGCCAGTCCGCAGACTCACCTTGGACAATAAATGAGAGCCGGTCGTCATGGAAACTCTGTGGTTGGTGAACTAGGTGTATTCAGTCTGAATGAACAATGGACAGAAGCTAGAGAAGAAGGAAAAGGAGGAGAAGGAGAAGGGAGGAGCAATGGAGACAGATTGTTGGTCCGGGGTTTAATACGATCCCGGTGTGAATAAAATAAATCAAACGTTTCAGATTTGAGAGCCGCATTTAGAACTGCAGCGAGTGGGAGGCGAGACTGTGGACGCATGCAAACAGGAGGGGATGAAGACACATGCAACCTACATATATTTATACTATATGTGTAGTTTTCTGCTTCAGTCGTTTCCATGAACCTTCAAAGCAGTGTTTTCCAAAGCTCCGCGCTGTGCCATTGAATCGTATGAAAGTCATAAAATGCTAATGCACTTCTTCAAAGCAAATATTGATTTCTTCTTCTATCGATCGTCTCTTGTAAATAATCTTCCGACGTTATTCCAAAGGGTTAATCTCACGTGACACGTTCCCAGAAATATGATGAATTTCACTTTAGCAGCTCTTTCGTCCCTCGCTACTTTTATTAAGCACAGACAGTGGTTTGGCCTTGGGGATCTGCCACACACACTGTTTCCTCATTATCTGGCGCCCCGTGTAAGCCGCCTCCTTTTGTGCATAAAAACATACATCACACTGAGGTTTGTTCTTGGGCTCGAGTCCCGAGGCTGCTCCAGCTTTGGGAAAGAGACGCCACAACTGAGTTTAATCAAAGGAAAGCAAATTAGTTCACAAAGACAAAGGTGAATGCAAAGGGGAAGGCGGTGCAGGTGTGACGTGGCAGGTGGCAGGAGACAGGTGGCAGGCGGAAAGTGGAAGGGGGCAAGTGACAGGTGGGAAGTGGCAGGTGGTAGTTGGGAAGTGGCAGGTGGTAGGCAGCAGGTGGTAGGCAGCAGGTGAGAAGTGGCAGGTGGTAGGTGGGAAGTGGCAGGTGGTAGGCAGCAGGTGAGAAGTGGAAGGTGGAAGGTGGGAAGTGGCAGGTGGTAGGCAGCAGGTGGGGAGCGGTTCTTGCAGCGTTATTGACAAACCCTTACTCCTCCAAGAACAATTCTGAAAACCAAAAAGCCTGTATTCATTTCATTTCGAACCTGGATGTTTTTTAGTTATTTGTGCGTAGTGCAGTTTTCTGCGACACTGAGATGATCTGAAACATTCATTTAACTTTTTACTGATGTTTGTTGAGGTCCCACAGAAACAAAGAGGACGATTCAGCAGAAAAACAAATTCACTCGAGGTGGACGTTTGAGGAGAAAGACCTCAGGGTTTTGTCCAGATTCACAGCTGCATCCTTCGTTACAAACTACAGCAAATACAAGACAGGTTTTCTCCGACTCAGACCCCGACGCTTTTCCAAAGCTTTAGTAGTAGTAGTAATCTTTATTTATATACCGCCTTTTCACTGCAGATCTGAGTCTCAAAGCGGTTTACAATTGTTAATTATGGGCATTTGTCTCTCACTCCACACAGAGATGGGAGGGGCCAGTACAGGAGGCGCATGCCAGACATGTCTATTGGACATATTTTTAGCGGTAGGGGAAACCGGAGTACCCGGAGGAAACCTACACAGACACGGGGAGAACATGCAAACTCCACTCAGAAAGGCCCTGGTCCGACCGGGATTCGAACCCAGGACCTTCTTGCTGAGAGGCGAGAGTGCTATCCACTCAGCCACCGTGCCGCTTTCTTTAGGAAAGAACCGCCCTCTCCACGTTCTGAACAAAACTTGCTGGTCTTCTTTGATGTATCAGCAGAATGATTGACAGTTGGGAGAACCAATAGTCTTGATGATCCACCAGGAAGTAGAACATTCTCTACCTTTAAGTGTCTCGGTCCTGTTCATAGAAATATAATCACTTTCTCACAGTCACAGGACTCAGAGTCCTCTGTCGCAGAATCCTCTGTCGCAGAAGCATCAATCTTTAATGAAAGTCGTTCTTATTGTTTTGTTTGAAATCTTTCTAACGACATTATTTATTCATGTTATTATTATTATTTTGCACAAACAGTAACGTTAAAGAACAGCATCAGACTCAGAGAAACGTGTTTCTGAACACGTGGGAACACTTCTGTTTTAACTGTTAACGTACAAAGGGATTTGTGGAGACTTTTTTACAGTATTCTCAAAGTGGAGTAAAAGGTCTAAACTAAAGTCTCAGCGACTGAAGCAGCTTCTTCTGGGATTGGATTTAAACAAGAAAAGACAAAACTACTGCTGCTTTTTAGCATTTTTCTGCAGATTCCTGAACTTTGATATATTATAAACCCTCCGGCTATTTTCTTTCTCCTCTTTCCTTTTTTCATCAAATGTTTCAACTCTGAACGACAACTCCATCCATCCATCCATCCATTTTCTACCCTTTAATCCATTTCTGGGTCAAGTCTCATAGCACCAGCCCCTCACTGACCCTCTGCAGGTGGTGAGTCCACAGGAGGGCGGCTGCTCTCTGAGTGTGAGCATAGCCTTGATCTTTCAGCGGGGGCTTTCAGCTGAACGACAACTCTCTACAGTAACTGGCTGTGGACAAACTTAGACGGAAGCGTTCCCGGAAACGGACTCGTGCAAAACAAACAGATCACACACAAAGAGGAGAGGCTGTGAGGGGATGGAATCTATCTCTGTCTCTCTCTCTCTCACTCTCTCCGTCTCTCTCTCTCTTGCTCTCTCACTCTCGCTCTCTCCGTCTCTCTCTCTCTCTCTCTTGCTCTCTCACTCTCGCTCTCTTGCTCTCTCTCTCTCTCTCTCTCGCTCTCTCCGTCTCTCTCTCTCTCTCTCTCTCTCTTGCTCTCTCACTCTCGCTCTCTTGCTCTCTCTCTCTCTCTCTCTCGCTCTCTCCGTCTCTCTCTCTCTCTCTCTCTCTCTGTCTCAGCTGCTTCTTGTCCCTCCTGACCGTAAAAGCCTGGAGCCATGATGTGTTTCACCCTGACACTGAAGTCCTGCAAGCCTTCACTTCGCCGCTAATTCTCCGTCGCCAGTGGTCGGCAAACACTTAGGCCACACACACACACAAAAACACACACACACACAGACAAACACTCACACACACACACACACACACACAGACAAACACTCCGATAAAGGTCCCCCGCGGTGCTGTCTGTCTGAAGCAAACCATTATCACACTTCACTTAGCGCTTGTCAGAGGGTCCTGGCTCAACTCTGACTCGTCCTGATCCTCAGCTCTGACTCGGAATGGAAAGACTTTAGTAAGCGTAAAATCAACATCAAACATGATCAAACATAATAACATATTATAGACTATAAAGTGATGGGACGTATCTTAACCCACGCCGCAGCCCACGCCACAGCACCCGCCACGGCCCACGCCGCGGTCCACATTGTGATTCTAACCATGGTTCTTTTGCAGAGAGCGGAGACACGTACCAGAGGCAGGTGTTGTCCATCGTCTCCATCGCTTCAGGGATCGGACTGATAGGGGTCGTGTGTATGGCTCTGTACCGACGCAACAAGTGGGTCATCAGTGTGTGTGTGCGTGTGTCTGTGTGTGTGTGTCTCTGTGTGTGTCTGTGCGTGTGTGTGTGTGTCTCTCTGTGTGTGTGTGTGTGTGTGTGTGTGTGTCTCTCTGTGTGTGTGTCTGTCTGTGTGTGTGTCAGATTCAGATTCAGATTCATTTATTTGCCATTTGCAGTAAAACCACATGGGAAAAACTGTGCAAGACTACCCCGGTGTGCACCAAACAACACACACCAGACCTCTTGCCTGTGTGTGTGTCTCTGTGTGTGTCTGTGCGTGTGTGTGTGTGTCTCTGTGTGTGTGTGTGTGTGTCTGTGCGTGTGTGTGTGTCTCTCTGTGTGTGTGTGTGTGTCTGTGCGTGTGTGTGTGTGTGTGTGTGTGTCAGAGATCACATAATTAAATCCATGGAGAGGGAGGGTGTGTGCTTTAGACCAGTGTTTTTCAACCTTTTTTGAGCCAAGGCACACTTTTTTCACTGAAAAAATCTTGCGGCACACCTCCAGGAGAAAATGTAAAAATGTATACAGTACTAATGTAAAAAAATATATACTGTACATACTCTGTGTGATATATAAAGTATATCTTATCTTATCTTATAATGTATACAGTATACTCTGTAGCCTATATTCACAATATACAGTTATTCTCATCAAAATGCTTAAGTCCAGGCCTTGACATTAAGCTTTATTTTATATTTCTCGATACAATTAACAAGAGTTTGGGAATAAAGTGGCACTAACTGTGTGGAAAAAAACTAAGAAAATCCACTCTCTGCCCAAATAGTCAAATAATAACTCACACAAAGAACATGCATTGTTAGTGCATGGGAAAAATGTAGGTATCCGAGCTTTAAATTCAGGAGTTTTGGATGAGGGACACGGGAGGTCCTGAACGCGAGTCCATGGTTCTGTCCGGTCCGCATGTCTGTGGTTCTGTCCACTCGACTATGGTCTGCGCTCGGTACCCAGTTCAGAAGTGCGTTCGCGAGAGCTGTTGTACAAAAATTGCACATTTCATAGTTAAACCACTACAACGCAGCCACAGCTGCCCCGGGGCAGAGCGGAGGATGTTAATCCTGTTCAGAAACGGCATAATTCATTTTCAAAAACGTCTCTATCACTTTCACTTCTCACTCGCCACAAAGCTCTTGTCTCGCTCCCTCCCACATTTGTTGGTCGCATCCAATTTTACCTTTCTCGCCACAATGCTGACCTGATACAGCCAGTGGTCGCATCCAATTTTTCAGTTTCAAAGTACTTAGCTATCTGCTGCCATCTACTGATTTGAAAAAGTATTACATGGTTACTCCACAGTTCAAAACAAGTCACCGCTCGTCAACAGCGAATGCAGCTATTTTTAGACAAAGTAGACGAATTTCTCACGGCACACCAGACAATATCATACGGCACACTAGTGTGCTGCGGCACAGTGGTTGAAAAACACTGCTTTAGAACAAGCTTAGACCAAACTATTTTACTCCAGAGTAAAAATGAATTCAAACTCAGTCTGCGCTCTGTGGGGTTAGAGTTAGCATACACAATGTTAGCATACACAATGTTAGCATACACAATGTTAGCATACACAATGTTAGCATTAAATAAAAACATGAGTAAAACAAGACACGAGAGAATCACTGTTTACAGCCTTTAAAACATGACTCGTTATGGATGGACGTGTTGGGGATGATTTTTTTTAATAGTCTGAGGGCCCCACTGGTCCTTCACAGTCCAGGGTCTTATGCCGCTTTTCTACAGTATCAGTACGGTACAGTACAGTACGCTTCAGCACGGTTATTTTGCGTTTCCACTAGTGGATGGTATGGGAGATTTGAGTACTTTTCCGTACTGCCTCAGCCGTGGTTCCATCCCCATAGTACCCGTGCCATGACGTCACGTCGGCCCACTGCCTTACACTGATTGGTCAACGAGTGTCGTCACTGGAAGCGACCTCTGACCCTTTGGGAAAAACAACTCAACCGCCATCTTTAAAGCCGGCTGCTCTGCTCGGCTCTGCTTCGGCTACATTACGTCCTCCTCACTCCAGAGAAATGGAATCTCACAGAAAGCCCCAAAAGTCCTGGTCCTGGTCGGTGGAAGAGGTCCACACGTTCCTCTCTTCAGGCCAAAGAAAGAATCCAAAGGCAGCTCGAGGCTCATCACAGTTTTCAGGAGATTGCTCTGGATTTGTGACTAGTCTGTGGTAATCCTGAAATAACTGGTTAGATACGAACCCCCTAAAGCTCTCACTGAAATGTATTTACTGTGTAAATGTTTGATTGTCTGTTGTACACAGTGAGATAGCTACATTTAGCTTCATTTAGCTATCGATAGCAGCTAAGCTAACGTCCTCCCTGTGCTACTGTGCTTTATCTCGTATTATCTGCAGTATTCACGTGTTGTCATTCTGTGCTTGACAACATTCTGTGCTTGTATTTAAGTTGTCGTGTGTATTTGTTTGAGAATCCCTTTCCATAAGTGTGGAAATTACCAACGAGTAATGAGTGACCGGAGTATTCTCATCTGGACCTGGTCTGGGCCTGGTCTGGACCTGGTCTGGGCCTGGTCTGGACCTGGTCTGGACCTGGTCTGGACCTGGTCTGGACCTGGTCTCAGACATACGTACTTTTGACTTTGTAAACTGTTGGTTTTGCACTTTACTTTTGTTTTCAATAAATCTGTGATTGTATCAAGACTGTGTTTCATTCATTTATTATTATTGTATCTGAGGTTTGGGTATCGATTGTTTGTCTGGTCTCGGAGTCTGCTGTAGTCCCCTACCCCTATGGTTGCCGCTGTCTCTCCCTCGGTCCTTTACTGCTCGAGTTTCCATATGACGAGTTTAAACCCTGGATCCTCCTCTGATGGTAGTGACAGATGTGTTAAGTGTAGTACAGTAGTAGCTTTGGAATCCAGGGTTAGTGAGTGAGCAGAGCCTCGAGCTAGCGCTAGCATTAGCTATAGCCTAGCATTAGCTATAGCCTAGCAGTATCCTCGGACATGCAGCCCTCCTCCTCTGCTACACAGGCTGCTGTTGCTACAGGTCCATTCAGATTGTACAGAGCAGCACCATTGACTTCACAGTTTCTGAGTCATTCTTTTAAGACAAAAGCATTTTAAAAAACTACTCGTGCTGTGCTGAACTTTCTATTAAACACTTGCTCTGATATTATAATAAATCCATGCAGCGCACCAGTACTAGTTACGCGTCACATGTAAATGACGTGGTCTGACAACGCTGAGGACATACTGGGGGTACTATTTTTGATGGAAAAGCACGCGAACTGGGCCATGGCGCGCCGTGTAGAGTCAAAACGTACCGTACTAGGACTGTGGAAAAGCGGCATTAGTCGGTTTCCTCTTGGTGCTCCGGTATCCCCTACCACTAAAGCCTGTAGAATAGGCCCAGCATGCCCCTGCTGTATCGGGACCATGCTCCTATCGCTGTCACTCTCTCTGTGACAGCTCTATATAAATAAATACACTTACTTTGGTCCCCGCTGTGTATTTTTAGTGAGAGACTGATTCTGGGTCAGACTGAGGAAGGAAAGGGCCGTGAGAGGCTCCTGGGGGCCGCTAATTCTCTGCTAACGTGTCTACAGTAAAACATGTTGTGTTTTCATTTGTTTACTTTGTGATGTATTGTGGCTAAAAGTTTCAAGAGGTGTGTTGGTTTGTTAGTCCTCCAAGAACTATATTTTATATATTCATCTTTATTCAGGACACAATCCTATAGGGATTACATATTACATATATATTACATATATATTACATATATATTACATATATGACATACTAAAATTCCT